AAAAAGAAATGTCAACGTTGACGATGGTTGTTGATTTGCTTAACAGAAAATTCGCATATTTATTCAATACGAAAATAATCTATAAGTATATAAATGAATATATATAGTTTTTGAAAAATTATATATGATAATAAAATACAATTTCGCTGACTCCACTATTTACCACGAAAACTATTCACGTTGACTTTATTTACCTGACACACCTGACTTGAAGAACCTATGAGGAATAATTATTAAAAATTCTCGGTGATACAGAGATCTTATTAATTGGAGTTGTAAGCTAAAATAAAACTCGTCTGCAATTTGAATAGCAACAAGGCGTGATGTTAATCCTGTGAGAAAATTAATTTTTCGCTCACCCGATTCAAACGGTTTTTGTAGAAGGTTTTAATATCGACAGTGACTTTCCCCGTGCTTCGAACTATCAGTATACCAAATTTGACAGTCTCTCGATCAGATAGTTAGGGAGTTTATAAAGTAGTGACATTATTTTATACGTAGAATGGAATGTTTTTTAAAAAAAATGCATAACCCTTTCGAGCCGACTGTCACATATATGTGACAGCAAGAAACGCGCTCACTTCCCGGCCGACACACCCGCGTGTCAGAGAGTTTTCTCGTTCACCCCCGACCGTCACTTATTTGTGCCAGCGTTTCGGAACGTTTTAAAAAATGAAATTTCTTCCAAAAGATGGCATTGTATGTCCATATGGTTTCAGATACATGTAGATTTGACCTTCTACTCAAGATGAAAGTACATTCACGTGGTTTTTAGGGGAAGGAGTGGAGGGGGGGAATGTTTTATGAGGGCTCTTTAAATTAGCACGTGATATTTATTTACAGTAAGTAAGGGAGTTTTTTTTTTCTCTCGCTACTTTCGATTTTCGGATTAGTTTTTAGTGGATAATTAGATCTTGTAGGCTTGAATTTTTTTTCTTTTTACCGTTAGAATGTCGAAGCGTCGAAAATTTTTAACTGAGCTGGAAATAGAGGAAATTATGCAAAATATTTAAACTTATTAATATTTATATTACATTTAAACAAGAAATAACTTAAGTAAATAAAGTATCCATAGAAATATATATAAAGCATATGTCACTTAAATACTCTACAGAACAATATTAAACAACGCGCTGATATTTCGGTAATTTCATGGAATTAGGCTTAACATCAAAAAACCCTCCGGCCCTGGGGAGACACACGCTAGAGAGACTGCCGGCCTCAGCGGTAAGCGCGCTTTCGCGCTTTGCGTCGCGAAAGGGATAAGCCTGAGATGGGCACAGTTGTACTTGGCTCTCTAGGAGCTCTCGCGCCACTGAGTTTAGTTTAATATTTTTGTGGCCACGAGTCTTATCCAAAGAGCAATACTATAACAAAAAGACTATAAGACATTTTTTTTTAAAAAGCAAAGAATTGTTTTGTAAAACAACTTCTTTTCTCTCTCCCAAAAATAAAAATAAAAAACTAGTTAAGTACTAACTTCATAATCTATTTAATTAGAATGATCTGCATTTTTTACGAAAGCTCGGTTGTTGCGAGATCTCGTAAAAAACTTGGCCTAAGTACGATCTCTTCGCTTGTTATAAGCGAGTTCGTAGTATTGATCAAATAATTTTTTAATTATACTGAATCTAAAAATAGTTTCTGAACGTATTTTCCCAAATTTTTCTATGACTTTGAGTTGGTATTTCAAATCCCACAAATGATAAGACCTTAAACCTTATCTCTGCTTTCATTCATGTGGAACTACTTATCTGATGTGACCTCAAGAGTAAAAGTTGCAGGTCATCGACTGGATTTAAAAGTTATTTAATTGTACTTATTGAAGTATAGTTTGATAACCTTTCTAAACTTAGATAAAGAAAAAACATTTTCTCGTTTATCGAGATCATTTTTGCCGCTTACTGCATATTTGAGAATCAAAGTCAAGTTCATTGGTCAGTTTTACAGACAAATCGTAAATATGCGGCTAAGTTTTTAAGAGTTTCTTAGAAACACGTGAACTGTGAAAACTTCCTCTGGAATAACAATAATTGACTGGATTATAGTAGAGAAATTTCGTTCATGGGCTGCAATAGCGGCACAACTCAAAAAATCATGTTTTGAGATAAGTGGGTTTAAAGTTTTCATTGCTAAGAAAAATGCTCAAGAAATGCTTTAGTTTGCTTAAAAGAAGATTACCTTCGAGTTGAATTAGAGTTCTGCTAGTATTGCTGCTGAAAAGAATGTGTATTTTCATATTTACACATGTTCTTAGTTCAAAAAATGTGTTTTTTGAGTTGTGCCACTATTGCAGATCATGGGCGATTTGTTCTTTCAAGTCTTTAAATTAAGGTTAATTTCAATGGCAAAAAATTGTTTCAAAATAACTTTAAGATTTTCATATACATTCAAAAGCGATGAATCTTTGAGGTACTATTTAGACAGACATCCTGTAATTATCGATTTTCGAACGAAAAATCCCAATATTTTTCTCCTAGAATAAAAACATTTAATTATTTTTCCTCCCCGGTTAAATATATGAAAAGAAATAAAGTTAAAATACTAATCACCTAACCAAGTTACTTCCCGACACATAAATTTTAGTAGTCGCTGTGTTTCATTTTGATAAAATTTGATAAAACTTAGTTTGTTGATAAAAACTATACTGGTAGACGTTGATAAGTAAATTTTCGTATCCGGACATTTCTGGTTGAAAAATTTCAAAAATCGTATTTTTTTTTTTTNTTTTTTTTTTTTTTTTTTTTTTTTTTTTTTTTTTTTTTTTTTTTTTTTTTTTTGTTATTTATTTCGATATTTTATTCTATGGGATAAGTGCGGACGAAACCGTTTTGCCCGGAAACTATTTGATATAGTTGAAAAACGCGAACATCAAAACGGCCTTTCCGTTTCGTCGTGGACTAGCGGATGACGTAGGAAGCTATTAGTGCAGGAGACAATCAGGCCTATGAATACTAAGACCTTTTAAAAAGTAATTTACTGGAAAGATATATTGGCACGAACAATCAGTGAGGCAATTTACTGGGAAAATGTATTGGCACGAACAATCAGTTACTAATTGCTGAATTCGCTTATTTAGACGTTTTCTCCAAAACTCATCTATTACTGTACAGATGTGGTCAAAATTGCCTACGGTGATCTTCAACGACAGTTTTATGGGGATTGTCAGCATGATGGGAGTCCTGTGTATTCGAATTGCCAACAGGACGTTTGAGCTTCTCAAAAAGCGCAACTGATATGCCTTGAGCATTCGGAGCAACAAAGAAAGCAGATCAGCGACCCTGGAGGAAGCAGTTCACGTCAACGAAATGCACAAGTTAGAATAAACATACAGTGTGGTCCAAGCATTGCCATTTGATGGCAAGTCCCAAAAAAACCGAAGGGGGACGTTATAAAAACTTCAAGCGCTATTTACCAAAAATCTTTTTTTTTGGGGGGGGGGCGAATTTCGGATTATATTACAGAAAAACTAATCAATCGATTTCGATATCAATCGTTTTGAATCAACCAAAATTAACTCGTTGAATGCCACGCTAATTTTACATGGCTTGCCCGTCTGCCCAAACGGTAAATAACTAAAAACTAAATTTGCAAATATTAGACAGATTTTGCAAGTTTTCTAAAAGGTTTAGCATGACATATCTGGAAAAAAAATGGTGAATTATAGAAGCCTACAAATTGCTTAGAAATAGTGGTGGATAAAAATCTTCTAAATTGAATTTATTAAACCAAGAATCACAATTAATAAACTACCACTTGAAAATATTTATTCGCTGTCCGGAACAAGTTGGCATCTCTGTGTATATAAATAAAACTATTTTTGTGTGTTCCATATTGCATTAATTTCTTCAAACCATTTTAGTAACGATAATAATGTAAAAAAATTAAAAATTTACTCGAATTGTGTGTTTCTAATAATCTTGGCTTGGCCCCCCGAACAAACTCAGTGCCGGTCACCGGTGACCCCCATGGCATTCAACGTGTTAAACCTTTTATGAAGTTAAAATACCAAAATAACCGGGTTTTTTTTTTTCAAATGGCTGCAATTTTGTGAAGAAAAAGGAAATCTCTAAGATTTTTTTTTTATTCTAACCAATTGTGATGGCATGTCTTCGAATCATCCTTAGGGATGTTTCCCAGACCGTCGCCAATAGCCCATTGTGCAGCTCTAGTGCGACGTAAATGAACTGCAACAACAAATCTAACTAACTCATATATAATCATTAGTTTTCGGTATCGTATGCTTCATATGATACAGTATAAAAGATCAAGCTGCACCGGGTCATCAGTACTCGGCGGCCAACTTCACCACCATTTTTATCCATATATTTACCACCATATTTACGTTAATTTATAACTATTTTGAGCTAGAAAAGAAAATTTACCTAAATAGGTGACGAAATTAATTAAGAAAATTATTATCAAACTTATCCTTTTATTTCACTGAAAGAAATTCTTAAAAAATGAGAGTAAAATCGGATTTTTGGACCACAAAATTCCCACAAGTGTATTTCGTCGATTCTTATTTTATTTTTGTTTCATTTAAATCTTCCAATTCTTTCAATTATAGAGCATATTGAACTTAAAGGATTTAGATTACTTGAAGCACCTTGATTACCAACTAATGCAGGAGTCTGAGGCTAGCAGCAAAAATAGTGTGAAATGCCACCACAATAAAATATATCACCCCGGAAACAACTTTTCCATGACTGGCCAACACCTCCTAGAATGAAGGCCTCAGCACGACACACCCCTCTCAATCCTTAGTAGTCCAACGAGAATCCTTACCGCGTCTTTTCAGAAAAGCTTCGATCGGATACTTTATATGAGTTTGTTTTTAATTAGAAACTTACCTTTCAAAAAATAAAATTTTTTAAGCACTTTTCGTCTCTACTGAAAAGAATGAAATTTATCGAACATATACTAACATTCTGAGAAAAATTATTTTAATTGCATTATCAATTGAAATAAAGATATTAAAAAAAAATTGCACTCTAATATACCTTTTGTAATTTATTTAAAGGAATGAGACAATATTATTTGACAATTTATCTATGTAAGCATTTATTATTATTCTTTCATTTAAATATATACATAAAACAAGCTATATATAATAAATAATTTTATCATTGAGTAAAATTTTTTATGAAAACAAATTTTCATTTTTAAGACAGCTGATATAAAGTTATATCCTTAACTTTATTGAAATTTGAACACAATTTTAAATTAGTGTAGTATAGTAAAATTATTTACAAGTTACTAGCTTTTCACAGCTTTCAAAAATGAAAAGTGATGAAACAAGCAACAAAACTGTTTATTTCAAATACAAATATAGAAACAATGTAAGATTTCATTTTAAATCTCTTCAGCTTATTAAAAATATGACCACTTAAACATTAATTTATTAGTCTAGTCATACAAAATATTTTTCAAATAAACTCAAAAAGTATTATAATGCTACTTGTCTTAAAAGTTACAAATAAAAAACAGAAGCTGTATCAAAAATTGATTCTATATTTTAATGTTGAAAAAAACAAACAGCTCCTTTATTTTAATGTTTGTAGTTTTCTTTTCTTAGTTTCTGGTTCAATTTTAGATTGAGTTACTTTTAAGTTTAAGTTAGCTTTCTTTTTATTAAGTCGTTCAGTTAAAATTGAATCATTTAGCTTTTTACAATAATTGCTTAAAAAGGTGTTAATGGCTCGAGTTACCAAAAATTTAACAATGAAACTGGAATCATGAGCAGAGCATTGATTGTCATTTAAGAATATTTCCTTTCTTTCCAAAACATTAATAGTAGTTTCAATAGCCAAAACTTTATGATTATGCATTTGTAGAAATGAGCTTTCAAACTCTTCAGAAACTAATTTTTGAACTACCACATATGCGTGCAAGATTATGTCAACAATTTCTTGCTTAGGGTAAACCAAACAACCTCTGTCTAATGTTTGAATGTAAGAGTTTTCAACATCATCTATCACATTAAATTTCTCTTCGATATCCGTTAATGTGATAGATTTCTCACAAGATGAACAATTTTTGTTTTATTTCACCAGTCTTTGGGTCAGTTTTCACCGTTTCTTTAACTATGACATCCGACGAAAAATGTTTCTCACACACCTAAAAACAAGTATACATTTTAAGTATTTTGTTTTTATTTTTAACTATTTCTTCAAAAAATATTATACTAAATACTTTATAGTTTTGATGTCATAAGCTTTTTTACATATTTGATGTAAAAAAAAAATTATGTTCTTACATTTAGTTCTCACTCTTAAAATGTTCTCATATTTTTAAACTCAACGAAAAAAAAATTTCAGAAAAATCAAAATATTTGTTGAAAGTCATATTTTACTCAATGAAATATGAGATTCAAATTAAATTTTCAATTACAATTTCTATTTTTTCTTCACAAAACCAAGACTTCTAATGCACAATACCCAATGAAGTAAGAGACGCAAATTAAAATTTAAGTAAAACTTTTAATTTCTGGTAAAATTTTAAATTATCACTCTAGGAAAAACAATATTAAAATACTTATAGAACTGTTGTAATAGAGGTTTGTTATTTTTTTTTTGAATGATTTAAATTTTCGGTTTCATATTGTTTGAATTTTATAGCCTGCATTATGTTTTCACATTTTGTCAAACTTTCTCACACAAAAATGCAATTAAAACAAATTTTAAAACTATGAAAATCATGAAAAATTTGTACTATCTCATTTAAAATGCCTTCTAAATTTAATATATATTTTTCTCCAAAATAAAAAAATGAATATAATTTGATTTAACTACCTGAATGATTATTTTAAAAAAGAAAGTGTTGATTTAAATCAACGAACCCCGATTTCAACAGAAATAAACAATAAGTGAGAAAACTTACTCGAGAATTCTTAGTGATGATAAAATCCTTCCGTGAGAGTGCTTGTAGCCAACGTCTTTGTTGAGCTTCATCTTTGGGAAAATTAAATACGGCAACTTTTGGACCGTTAGCATAATTTCCTTTGCAGTTTACTGCACAGCAATGGTAAGGCATGACACATTAATATATATTGCAAATATGTAATCCAACAGTAGCTATCATAACTTAAAACTTCACGAAAACGAATTAAAAATAACAAAACACGTGGAAGGGGAAGAACCGGCGCCAAAGGGAATGACTGTTATGGTCACCGGAATTCCATTTCGCCAAAATCAAAGCTATGAATGACGCCAATGCTAATGGAAGAATGTGGCAGCCATTCAGGTCTACTTCGTTGGACTACCAACGGATCGGATTTTTCATTTATGTTAACCCGTGCTGAGGCCTTCCTTATTCTAGGAGGTATTGGACTGGCGCACCCCTGGAGAAAGTTCTCAAGCCCTGACAATCAACACAATAATGACACTCACTGGTGGTACCACAATCGAATTTTTTTTACTTGCCTTTCACCTATAGAGAGATAGTTACCTAACAGGACTCTCACCGCCTGATACTAATAACCACTGTTAGCATTTTTAATTGGCAAATGTTCCTATCCCATGACGATAATGTAACCCAAGAAATCTTAAAACTGAAAAAACTGTAAATTATGGAAACATTTTCTTCACCATTACGGTGATTTTGTTTTAGAATGTTACTGGAGCACTATCTTACCAAAGGATTATCAATTATAATCACTGAAATATGTTTAACTTCAACTGTGGGCAAGCAATGAGTCCGTCAGCCATTGGCAGGATACGAACCATAACACCTCAATGGGAAGTTAGAGATCCATTGAGTGTTCCAAAAATAATCAGGGATATTTAAATGAAAGAAAAATGGTTTGGTGCATTCTGCTGAGAAAATAATATCTTTTGCTGGACAATTTACAAAGCTAATTACAAAACTCGTCAAAAAATGGAGTTGTAAAAAATAAAATTTTCGACTGCATTTCAAACTATACTCCAACTGAAATATTTCACTGGAGAATCTATTAATTTTGTCCTCAGACTCTCGGTATTGCCGCACAAATGATGGTTATTTTTTATGCATTTCTTTATATTCCTTATCAATTACCAACGGCATCTGTTAATGAACTTTATAAGTACTTCTGTAGCTTTTATTAAGTATAAATAAATTGGCTTCCGAAACAGAATACATCAAACGGTGCATTTTTCTCTCCCTTCTTTTTTGGAACGTTTGGAATTTCTATACTATGTCATTCTAACTCAAAAAAATTACATTTGTCATGATTTTATAACCGACGTTGAACACCTGATTCTCGTTAGACTTGTGGTTGCTGTTACCAATATTTAAGACGTTTGGTTGAAACTGAGCGCATTTTCGTTACACTGAAAACCATGAAAACTTTCCATGGCTACCCAGTTGGCAAGTGGACTCTAACTCAAGATTTTTTTTTTATCATTGGGATATTTTACGTTAGCATTGCTTTCGGTTTGGACCAAGTTGTCATAGCAGTATACCAAGACCAGCAATCGTTGGCATTCGAAACTGAGGCACATATCTTAGACTGAAATGGATGTTCAATGGCTCGAGCGCATACTTCACCTAATTCAAGGTTTAAAAAAAAACTTACAAATACATGAAATGTAAGTAAAATAATTAAATAATAATAAATTATAAAAAGAACCTTGCCACCTTAGGAACATTAAGTAATTTCTTATTTATTGTGGTGCATTTCTCTTCGGTTTGTACGACTTTCTATGACCGGGAGGTAAACTGGGAACCAAAATTAAACTTAATCTGAGATAAACCTAAAACTGAAATCCGTCACATAAAGCTGCACTCATACCGCGCATGTAACTTTATTTTGTTTTGAAGGCATGCTTAAATACAATTAAATTAAAATTTTTCAATCAAGATCATCTAAAATACAAAAAACCAACGTCCACCCCTTTCCCAAACTCGTTCCGCCGCCCGCAGTAGAATTATCGAACATTGACTGGTCGGTGGCTATAAAAAGGTTGAGGAACGCTGACCTAGAAGACTGGATGAAAATGACAATTAAATCGAATTTCATTAATTACTATGAAAAATATTCTATATTACTTCAGTAATCCAAACGGTCTGTTAGTTGCTAAGTATGTTTAAATAAAAATTTTAAATCAATAAATTAAAGATAAGAGAGTATCAATACTATAATGATATACGGCTAAAAATATCAACTATTTTGAAATATAGAAAGCCCCTCTTTTTTTTTTTTTTNGTCTACGACCGCCCTTACGAATTTTTAACTTCGAGAGATAATATTTTTTGAATAGTCATACGATTACTGTATGATATCTCTGGATGTAGTCTAAAATACAATATTACAAAAGCGTCCATTATTTCATCAGTTTTTTTTTCTTCTAATAACAATATATCACACTTGACGCTATTATACAATCATAAACACTCACAATGGCGTCTACGACCGCCCTTACGAATTTTTAACTTCGAGAGATAATATTTTTTGAATAGTCATACGATTACTGTATGATATCTCTGGATGTAGTCTAAAATACAATATTACAAAAGTGTCCATTATTTCATCAATTTTTTTTCTTCTAATAACAATATATCACATTTGACGCTATTATACAATCATAAAATATATCACAATAAGTTCTAAATATGACTATTTTCGAGAAAAATGTAATAAACGAATAAACGAATTAAACGTTTTTTTTTTCCAGAAAAAAAAAATCTTCTTTGCCTTTATTAGTTTGGAACCAACCAATTATTAAAATTTAAGTAAAACAACAGCTGAAATATTATCTACGATTTGTCACCTAAGTACACAGTATATGTACTGATTACTGACAAAATAAAACACAGCTTTTCTTTAGTTAAACATGAAACTGAAACTGGAAAACCTTTCAAAACTTATCAAAGCGCTAAACAAATAATACTGGGTTTAGATTATTCTAGGGTATTCATACATTAAAAATGAAAAATAATTTTCTTTACTAAGAATAATTGAAGGTATTAGCGTCATATGGATAAGACACATTTTCAAATTGTTCAGGAGATATTTTAGAGCATTTTCGGAGAAAATGTTTGATCTCCCAACAAGCTTGTTTCTGTCAATTGTTGTATTACTTAATCGAAATTCTGAAAGCTTGTAAAGTACCTATTTGGGAGCAATACTAATAAATAGGCTGATGAAAAAACATTCTTTGTTTTTGCGTAGTTTTTTTTATTTAATTGTTTTTCAGCAGTAAAAGTTGATATAACATCATTTGTGTGAGTGAAAATAATCCATGAAAACGTACATGGTCAAACAACGAGACAGTAACAATTAAATTGGAACAAAAAATTATTAAAACTTAAAAAGAAAAAGTTAGTCATAAAGGAGGGTCTGTAGCTGATCTTTAGCCTTCTAATATTTATCATAAAGAATTCCAGTGACCACTAGACATGCTCTAAAATTTTTAGCAGTCCATTGCCCAGCTTAGCAATGGCTCACTTTTGTATAAGAACAGTTTGGGAAAGATAGTTTTTCTAATTTGTTCGAATAAGCAGCAAGAATATCGAGAGCGATTTCTAGCCTAAAGGCCAGAACTGCCTGCTATCTTGAAAGCCCTGTTACTTTATATACTCCCCTCGCTAGTTGTCTGGAGCAAAATTCAAACCACAACTTTGAACTTAGCCTCCAAACGTTAGTCCTTCCTTCATGGTGAATCGTTTGATCATGTTATATTTTTTTCTTCCGAAAAATAACAAAAACTTAATTTAATCATCGTTTTTTTTTTTTTTTTTTTTTTTTTTTNTTTTTTTTTTTTTTTTTTTTTTTTTAGTCGGTGAGCTAATTGTTAGTTACGGAGGTTTATAAAGAAAATTAACTAAACCTGCTTTGGCTGCAGTTTTTACTTATTGGGTAGGCTAACGATTACACAATGGGCAAACATTTGGAGGCAAAATTAAAACTTGTAATTTCTAGGTTAAAAGTAACTAAAATTTGTTTTGACTGTAAATTTTGTTGTAAATAGAGGAGTAGCGAAAATTTTTGGTGGCCTTAATATATCCTAAACAGGCTAAAGTTTGGATTCAAAATTCAAACTTATGGTTTCTAGAACAAAAAAAAACTACAATTTATTTTGGTCATGGTTTTTTCTCAGTTTGGTGGGTTAACTTCTTCCTAAAATTGACAAATGTTTGGAGGCGAAATTCAAGCTTGTGGTTGCCTTCAAACTTGTGGTTGCCGGCCTATTTCAAAGATGGCTGATCTTGAGGTGCTCCAGAGTCGAATCCCAGCGGAGGAGTTTTAGTCGATACGAATTCTGCTGCCGGCTCGCACCGACCACCACAGTGCTGACATAAAATATCTTCAGTGGTTGATGGATCATGGGTTGGAATCCTTTTTCCGTTGGTCTAATCGTAGGTCTACCAAAAAAGTCCTCTATGAAGACTAATTTGTTCATATTATTGATCCCGGACTTCCTCTGTCTTCTGGGTTGAGTTCAAAATTACAAGACTACGGAATTGGACACTGATAGTCCTAAACTCAGAATTGGATCGGCTGTCCAACGCCGGTTGAAAGATAAAATAAAACATTCAACAGTTACAATCTCAAATATTAAAATTATCTATTTGTAATTTACTGATCATCTACTAATTATTTGGTCTTACCTGTAATTATGCGTTTCTCTAATTATTAAATTGAAAAAACATTTGCAATTGTAAAATGACCATTATTTGCGTAATCCCTCAATTTATAATTAATAACCGCAGATAATTGTACGTTTTATTCATGAATTCTGAGAAGAACAATTACGGTTAATAACCCTAAAAAGACGGTTATTAACCCTAAAATTATAGTTATTACCATAAAATTATGGTTATTACGGTTAATAACCCTAAAATTCTGTACCTTATCCACAAAAAATATTATAAACGGCAATGTTAACGCTACTTTAATTCTTAGCGTTGCGTGTATTTCAAACAATTTAAATTTTTTCCTCTACTAATATTTCTTGATATGTGGGTATTTTTGTAATGTATGATACTAATTCATTCGTAATAGGTCAATTTCATACATAACCTGCTGTATAAAAATTTTTTAAAAAATCGCAAACTGCCGCCCATGGAATGGATTTTCGTTAAAATAATAATATTATTTAATATATGTAAATCCAAACGATAAATTTCACTTTACTTGCTTTATTTCTTTAATATTGGCTTGATAAAAGTTATTCAATTATTCAGAGTTTGTTTTAAAATTCGACCGTCAAATTAATGTCTTAGAACATGGCGGAACAAATCACGTTGAGAAGTTGAAAAATCGCGAAAAACGTAGGAAGGGTATTGGACTATAGCCATACCGAGAGTCAAGGCTCCTCAGAAAGTTCGTGACGTCCTTCACGGAAATTCTAGGCAACGTGGTAGCTCAGATTTGAATTAAATTCAAATCTTTTGTAAAAAAAGTCAATTCATTTACCAATTTTACTCTGAGAGAAGTAAAATATTTTTGTTTTACCTAAACTATTGTCACTTAAATATTTTCAAATGGTGAATTTTTCATTTTTTTTAGCATAATTTTATTAGAATAAATAAATCAAGGTTATTTATC